TGTACTATTCACTACATCTTTATTTGTAATTTTTCATTAAAACAAATTTTTTTTTTCGTTAATTTTCCTTTAATTTTTAATCTCAACGTAAAATGTTCTTGTATTTATGTTTTTGTTTTGTTAGACTACATTTTAAGCGAGCATATTTGGTAATCGCTCCATTACCAATTATGAACATTGCTTTTGACACAAGTGATAATTGAGAATGGAGAATCGAACCTAAGATAGAGATGAAGAAATTTTTTTGTTTTAGTCACGTCGCAAGCGTCTTGTGATCCGAAAATATATTCGAAGAATTTCGACGGAGGGAAAGATGGATGGGGCCGGATAACTTGTCCCGGTTTTTCTAAGCTCGTTTTGCTAATCATGTTCGTGATTACATGTAAAATGATTGAATTTGGCCAAAGTTTTAGTCTTTGGACTTACAAGGAGAAGAACTTTCATACAAATAATACGTCACTATTACGGTATTCTAAACCAATCAGACATTATTATGTGTTTTAACTTCTTTACGTAGTAGTGCATGATTGACTTGAGATACCGTCACAATGACATTACAGTGTAGCCATGTAGGTGAGTTTTGCTCACATAGAAGGTGAAAACACAAAGACGAAAAGAGAGAACCTTGAGTGTTTTGAGTTTGAACCTTTTTAGTCTCTATTTTGTACAGTTTCTGTGATTACTCGGATATATCAAGAAATATAGAACTTAACTTTCCTCTTTGTTTGCACAGCCTTCCGAAAGAACAAAGCCAAAGTTGGCCACATCCTAACCACAAACTGCAACGTTAAATGGGTGATTAGGTTGTGGATAGCTGAAGAATTTGTTGAACCTAATGAAGGGGTCACACCCGAAGAAGTTGCAAAGGACTATCTTACGGAATTTACCGCGCGTAGCATGCTGCAAATTATGCAAACGAATGAAGATGGAAGAGCAAAAACATGTAAGATGCATGATCTCCCGCCTGAGGTTGCTCTGTCGATATCAAGAAAGGAAAATTTTGGTGCTGCATTTGTTGGCAGAGAAGTGGCAAAGAAGTTGGAATGCGTAGATTGTCAATTCGAATAACTGAAGAATTTAATTCTTGCACAAGTATGTCAAAGCTTCGGTTGCTTCTTGCCGATCTTTGCCACAAACATGTTGTATGAGTTTAAGAAATTGCCTTCTAGGTTCAAGTTGCTGACAATTCTTGATTTGGAGGACGTCCCAGTTGCTAGAGTCCCGAATGAACTAGTGCACCTATCCGATTTGAGATATTTGAATCTGAGGGATACTCTGATTGAGCAGCTTCCAGAATCCATAGAGTGGATGTGCAACCTTGAAGCCTTGAACATCCCGTGACAGTAGGATAAAGACACTTCCAAGAGCCATTTCAAAGTTAGTCAGCCTACGACATCTGATCGTGTACCATTACATCAGTGATTGGTATGTGTTTAGAGAATACATGGGATCAAATTTTAGGAAGTTGAAGAAACTACAAGTTCCATCACGCGTTGACTCAAAAGGACAGATCATTAAAGTCGTCTGGAATATGATCCAACTTACAAGGATAGGCATTACAAATGTAAAAATGCAAGTGACGAGATGCGGAGATGTGGAATTGAAGACATTGCCGGAATCTTGAGTTCTTTTTCAATATAGAAAACTGAATTAGAGGCTTGTCCCACTGCAACTTATAGAGTCCATAAAAGGAGGCATCACAAAAGCTTGTCTAGTATACATTGCAGAAGGCATGGAAATCAGGAATGTGCTGCACCTTTACACGATCCATGCCTCCTTTTACGGACTCTATAAGTTGCAGAAACTACATATCGATCCTGGTTTTCTTAATCTCGTCCTGCTAACCGCAACAAACAGCTTATATATCCAGACTTACCTCTATACATATATATGGAAAGAAAATCCTTGTAAAATGGATGCATCTGGACAATAATTCATGGAAAATTGCTAGCTATTATATCATTTTCTTGTTTTTGTTCTGTCAACTAGGGTTTTAGCGTTTGGAACTTAGCTTGTCCTCTCAATGCAAGAAGAACAACTTTTGTGCAACAAGGATGTCAGTGTAACGGTATTCCAAACCAACCAAACATAATTATGTAACTTCACCACATGGTAGAATCTTATTGACTTGAGAAGTTGCCGCAGTGACATCCTCAATGTTGTATGCTCGTCCCCAGCGGAAGTAAAAACGCAAGTGCAAAAGGAGAGAACCTTTGAGTGTTTCAACTTTAGGGTACGAAATGTATTTCTTCATGATTTATTCATAAGTGGCTAATAATGTATCAAGTTGTGCTCATTTAAGCACAAAAATGAAGAGGGTTTGACAAGTAATACAATCTTGTTTCTCCTATGTCTTCACAACACAACACAATTGAGCTCTGAATATGGAGATTAATTTCCTGTCTAAAATCTTTGGCACGCGCGGTGGTTGCTGCTGGTGATGCTTACTAAGAGGTTATTGTGCCGGATTCTGTCTCTTCTTCAACTCGTCTCCGGCCACAAGGAAGAACGCAGTGTGCCTGAAAAAGTTCATCATTTTGACCTTGGACTCTGCATCAATGTCTGGAGTAGTGTCCAGTGCTTGCTGCATATGATGCAGCCACCTCTCCGCAGCTTCGTGCGTGACGGGAAATGGACGGTGGCGTGCAATCAGAGCAGGATGGCCTGCCAATTTCCAATTACAACATAAGGACTCAGATTGGTAATCAAAACGTCACGGGCTGCAATGCAATGCATTTGCTAAATTTTAACCAGTCATATTGGACTGGTACATATTTCATGGTTGAGAGAAATATTCAGTGTAACAGTAAAATCACGTAACATACTGGATCGGACAATATCACGGTAAGCAGAGAAACTATTCATGTGTAGTGGCATAACACACCATGTCGTGTGGTGTTACAAGTCCATCCAAATTATAATTTTTGAAATCTGTAACTAAATCAAACTCGTCCAACAGAACATATGTAGTTGTGAGCATCAAACGCTATGTAGCATCGGATGAGATTTGTTTTTGGAAATTCGCGTGTTAAGTAGACTAAATCGAACTCGTTCAACGACGTAACATGATATGACAAACAACAGTATTTCCAAAATTGTGAATTATGAATACTAAATTTATCATACGCCCCATAAGAATGTCACGTAAAGTTATCGTCACACACAATAATAATGTTACGGACTTAAATTCGGGCCTCCATAGCACAAACCAAATGCAAATTTGGACAATAAAATGGAAATACCAAAAAACTTGACACACATGTACCTCTTCTCTGAGAGAAGAGATTTGGGCCTCCCATTCTCTGCACGAAAAACTCGTACTGGTTCTGGATGGCGTCTTCCTTCTTCGAATTGGCGAAAATCGACCGGAACCACTCCTGTTCGTCATCGTATACCCTGCCGATCAAGGGCATAATCGTAAATTCATGACCAATCCAATCCAATCCAATTCAGCACGTGGTACGATGAGATTGATGAAGACTGAAGAAAGACGAACCAGAGAACGAACCTGGTGTAGAAATTGGTGGAGAGGTTGATGAAGGCCTGGAGGCCGAGTTTCTGAAACAGGTTTGTCTCGTCGATGGCGAACGCGTCGGCCGAGTCGACGCCGCTCCACTCGGCGGCCTTGGCTTGCAGGCTCTGCATTCTTTTGCTCACTGGTTGGTAGCGGAGTCCGCGTGCTTGTTCGAGGAAGTGCGAATTTGGAGATTTGTGAGGAAGCTGTTTGGTTTATACAGGGGGACTCGTGCCGCCCGCGTGGATTGCACGATGCTGGATTTGATTTGCTGACCAACGGGAAGTCGAGGGGCTTGAAACTATGGGCAATGGCGGATTTGACATGTTGGTCCCCCTTTTCCTCTTTTATTCTTTATGTGACACTATGAGCTAATCATGTTGTCACTTACAATTTGCAAACAAATACAAAATGCCCTCTCTTTTTCAAAAGTAAAAAATAGAAATATCCTATGATCCCAATTGGAACATAATAATCATTTGATCGGTTGTAAAAGAGATATATAATGCAAAAATGTGGAGAAATTTAGATAAATATCCCCACCATAGTGGTAATTGTGGGGAACATCACATGAACAAGTACCGGAAACCTTGAAATATCTCTCTAAATTATGAGCTTAAACTACAAGAATTTTTTTTTGGGTGTGCGATCACACAATATTGATCTGATAGTTTATATTTAGTTTATTAAAATGTAAATACATTTGTTATAATAAAGTGAAATTGAATTCACAACTTCATATGACCATGAGGCAAAAGAAGATATATTTGGACAAAAGAAATTTTTAAGGATCAAGGAACGAAAATGAAATTACATGTGTAACACGAGTCCATTACTTTTTTTGGTTTCATTATTGTCTATTTTTAGTCCCAGTAGATAAAATGAGCACAAATTGAAAAAAGATAACAATGATAAATCAAATAGCTAAGGATGATGGTTGAAACTTGAAAGGCTCCTACGCACTAAAACACAAAATTCAAAGATTGAGATTTTAATTTAAGGGAGTTGTTATTAACATTTTAAAAAAAAATTATAATTAAAAAGAAAAATACGAATGTAGAATGAAAATTTTGAAATGCTAATAACAATTTTCTAATTTAATAGTTTGGAAAGAATAAAGAGCATTAAAAAAATTACGAATCATGAAATAGCAATGTGAGATGGGATCCGAATACAGTGTGGGGTCTAAGATGGGCCTAATTGGGCTTTAGACCAATAATAGAGAGGAAATGTTAAGGCATGAGAAATGGCGGCGCAACTAATCTTATCTTTGAAACCGCCAATCTCCACCGTCGCATACAAAGCAAAACGCAGACTGTAACATCCTTATATAACTAACATTTAACAAGCCCTAACCTCCTCCGTCGGTACGGTGCCTGTTGGTTGCTAATCTCTCTCCGTTTCTTTCTCCAGTAACCGATTCCTCCGAGCTTCGTCTCAGAAACCATAGAAAATTTCCCAAATTTTTGTTGTGAGAATTTTGGTTGCAGACGGCCGGGGATCGAGTTTGATTCAGATGGTGTCGACGGTGGGAGTAGAGACTAGAATGGAGAACTCGCAGAATCGAATCCGGAAGCGGCCAAGGTCGGCGTGGGACGTCGGCCCATCGCAATCGGAACCGGAGGTTGGTTTTGGGCTATTCAATTGTTAGGGTTAGGGTTTCCAAATGAGAAGGAACGACAAGATTGGGGCTTTTTTTGTGCCGCATGTGGATTTAGGGTTTGCAGTGATTAATGGTAATCGGACAGGGATGAAAATGGTTGATGGATGCATCTTGTTTTTGTAGGCTCAACGGGCTGTGATGGCATGTAATGAAGGGAATGGAAGGCGTGGATCGCCTCCGAAACGGGACGATGATCGGGAAGGGCATTATATTTACAATCTCGGGGAGAATCTCACTTCAAGATGTGAGTTTTTCCTGAAAATTTAGCGCATTGTTCTTGTTTTTTGTTAATTACATGTTTGTATCGGGTAATGATGTTGTTTTGGGGTTTTTTACGTTGATTTGGCAGATAAAATACTTAACAAGATGGGTGAAGGTTAGATGTCAAGTGTCCTGCTGTCTACAAGATTTTATTTTTTTGTCATTCTGCTTGTGTCATTCAGCATATTGCTAGTGCTGTAGGCACATTTGGCCGAGTTTTGGAATGTTGGGACCGTCAAACACGAGAGTATGTGGCAATCAAGGTAGTTCGAAGCATACGAAAATATCGGGAAGCAGCAATGATTGAGGTTGATGTGCTTGAACAGCTAGCTAAGCATGATAAGGGCAACTCACGGTACATGTCTTCTGGGTTTAGCTGATAGAATTGCTGGTTCAATCATTGTGATGTCGTCTAACTTCGAGCATGTTAATACATTGATGCAGCTGTGTGCAGATTCGCACTTGGTTTGATTACCGCAATCACATTTGCATTGTAAGTATCCCAATTAAATTCCTTCATGTTACTCTTTTGCTCCATTATGTTGTACTCTTTGACTGTTTTCTGCTTGCTGTTCTGAATCTGTGTAATATTTTTTCCACCATGCTGATTATCTTCCTTCAAGTAGTTTAATGATCGATTCTCATATGCATGTAATACCAATCGAGCTTTCAGATATTTACAGTTGATATTAGTGTGTCCATGGACTTTATTTATAGAACTGAGAACTAAACAGAAACCTTCATTTGGATGCATTTAATGGTTTCTCAGGTGTTTGAGAAGCTTGGACCAAGCTTATTTGATTTTATAAAGAGAAATAAATACTGCCCATTCCCTGTGGATCTTGTTCGGGAATTTGGACGACAGCTTTTGGAATCTGTAGCATGTGTGTGGATAGTTCTTAGTCTCATTCTCTTTTTTATTTTATTGTAACCAGTCACGCAAATCTGTTTATTGGCCTTTTGTCTGTCCATGGCTGTAACAGGGTGTTTTAATTCAGTCCTTTTGTTTTTAACTTACAATTTTTCTTCAATATATCCAACAGATATGCACGACTTACGCTTAATTCACACTGACCTGAAGCCAGAAAATATTCTTCTTGTGTCCTCTGAATATGTAAAGCTTCCTGGTTCTAAGGTATCTTGGACTTTTACAATTTAAAGTTCATGCCATGTTTCATATTTGGGTACAGACTCAGTTAATAAAAAGTGCTTGAAAATGGTACAGAGGTTTTCTTCAGATGAAACAAATTACAGGTGCTTGCCCAAGTCTAGTGCCATTAAGCTGATTGATTTTGGTAGTACAGTGTCTGATGATCAGAACCATAGCTCCATTGTTTCTACCAGGCATTACAGAGCCCCTGAGATTATTCTAGGTAACTAATTACGGTGCTGGCCAGCCAAAATGTGATATCATTTCCTTTTTTATTCACCTTCTGTTCCCATCTTACTGAAACCATACTAAGCAATATGGTGATTGATGAAAAGAACTGTCTTACTGGTGATTTAGAAAAGTACTTGAGGCTGGTACATCTGTAAACAAGATTATTCAAAGGGAGTGTTTAACAGAGTCATAGGAGGTCATTGTGGTGCATTAGTCACGTTTTTTTATGCTGGATGCCCCAACATGGTCAATAAGAACACATTACATTTTGGCATCAATAACCATTTGGAACATAATAAGGGCATGTTGCAGTATGGCATTGATAGTAGACTAACAATCTTTATTCGCTTTTACTGTATTGCTGTGGTTTTTTCATTTTATTAAGATGCATCAGTAGCATAGGATATTCATGTTTTTTTCCCTTCCCCTAAGCTCTTTCTTGGGTCTGTTTTGAGTTGAGTTTGGTGACATTTCCTGCATGGTCATCCTTTACTTGTCCTGGTTCTGCAGAGTGTAATCGTTTTTTGTGTTGGTTTGTAAAGATTATAGCTTACCAGCTATTTGTTAACCTAATTTTGTTTTATTTATTCTCTCGTCATTTTAACTTATTATGGAAGTAGAGAAAAAATCATTTAGTTGTTTTTGGTAATAATTATTCTGTTACAATGGTCAAGCTTTATCGTGCTTACATCTCAGGTACTGACCAGTAATAGTACCTAAATTGTTCTCATCATTGCTGTATGTCTATCTTGCAGGTCTAGGATGGACTTACCCCTGTGATCTGTGGAGTGTAGGGTGCATTCTTATTGAACTTTGTTCGGTTAGTCCTACATTACTTTATCCTGGTTCGAATATGGATTCTTCTGGTCAGGAATTTCTAAGATGGGGAATTTTGTCAGGGTGAGGCATTATTTCAGACGCACGAGAACTTGGAGCATTTGGCAATGATGGAGAGGGTATTGGGACCTCTGCCACAGCATATGACCCGAAAGGCCAAGTATGTATTGAAATATACTGATTCTGGCTATTTTTTTTACTAGAACATGGTTGACCGAGTTTTGTATTGGATCTGGAGCACTTTTAAGTTCTGATTATTTTATTGAATTAGAAATTGGATGAGATTTATTCAAAAATTGGTACCATTTTTTATCCGTGTGTAGCCATGGTGCTGAAAAGTATTTTAGGCGGGGTGCACGACTGAATTGGCCTTTAGGAGCAGTTTCAAGGGAGAGCATTAGAGCTGTTAAGAAGCTCAACTGTTTAAAGGTTTTTCCTTTTTCTTCTCGCTATTTCAGTTCCATAAAAGTATTTACATGATTTGATATCTTGTGGAATTTCTTGATTTCTTAGTTGATATGATGTCATTTATTTTGTATACAGGATCTGATATTGCGACTTGTAGGGTCGTCGAAAGCCAGTTCCTACCTGACTGATTTGTTGTACGGGTTGCTGAAATATGATCCTTCTGAACGCCTCACGGCTCGACAGGCACTCGATCACCCCTTCTTCAAGATTCCAACCTGAGGAACCGCATTGCGAAATACAATTGGGTTCCCTATGTTAGTATTCGAAGAAGGCAAAGCTAGCTCTTCTAAGGATAGCGAGAGATCGAGGGGGAGAGAGATGGAGAGAGCTCAAATAGTAAGTTGAGCTTCACTTGTATATGTACAAATAGTATAGTGGCCTCATCTATGAAATACTGAACTTTTTCACTTACCCATTTTGAATTAGTCTCGGTGATTCTAAACTGCATGGAGTTTTGGTGCTTTTTCGGCGCGCTCTGCCTCATATTTTCACGTCTTTTTACCTCTTGCACTCTGCTCTTAATTTTGTCCCGTGATTTTCCTTGATCTATTATATTCGACGGCCAGAAAGTCAGAAATAAAGACTGCTATAATCGCTTATTTTTTTTATCACCCACAATTTATTAGATTGCACAAGTACACAACGCTGCCATTGATTGGAAAAAGTAGACCAATAAGTTAGATGAATTACGTGTCAATTGGCTATCACCAATAATCTCCACAAGAACACAAGCCGTCCTCAAACTTGTGAAACCTATTTGCATCTCTCACCACAAACACCACCTTCAAAACCTTCGACAAGCCTTTGATAAAAGCATGGCAATCCCCACACACTCTCAAGTTCTTGAAAATCCAAATCGTTTTGTTTCCCTTCTCCATCTCACCACACACCAACGCCAACCCGATTGCCAACTTCTCACTGTGAAATCTCAAGCTCTCCTCCTTCGACTCCTCTTCCACGTCGTGCAGCGCAAACCTCACCCCATGAACATAACCCAGCTCGGATTTTATTCTCTTTTCCATCTCCTTCAACACTTGATGAATCTTTTCCGTAAGCGGATGTGTCTCATCCCCATTGTAGAAGAAGTAGACCTCCTTGTTGATCTCCACCCAACTGCGTCCTGCCTCTTTCTTTAACCCTTTCATCTTAAACAGTTTTCTTATTCTCTCGCACTCTTTCCAGTAACCGGCCTCAGCGTAGATGTTTGACAGCATCACATAGTTGACAGGGTTATTGCTGTCCAGTTTCAGAAGCGTCTCGCCTACTTCTCTCCCTATTTCCAAGTCCCCATGTACTTTACAAGCACCAAGTAGAGTTTGCTGTATTCCAACATTCGGTTTCAAAGGCATGTTGTCGATGAGATTCTTGGCTTCTTTTACGCGTCCAGCTCTGCCGAGGAGATCGACCATGCAAGCATAATGCTCTACAATTGGTTTGATCCGTTTGTCGAGACACAATCTTGAGAAGTAATCTTTGCATTCTTCTATTAGTCCAGAATGGCTGCAGGCTGAGAGCACGGCCAAGTAAGTCACCCCATCGGGTTCTATGTCATCCGATTGCATTTGTTGGAACAGACGTACAGATTTCCTTCCAAGACCATGCTTTCCGTAGCCTGTGATCATAATCGTCCAAGAAATTACATTCCTCGCCGGAGTTTCATTAAACAGTCTTTCTGCCTCGTCTGTTAATCCACACTTGAGATACATATCCAGAATCGAATTAGTTACTGATATGTCTAAACCAGATGGGATTTTGAGAGTGAAAGCATGCATTTGCCTACCTTGTTCAACCAGGGAAAAATCAGCAAACACGCCCATAAGGCTTGAGAGAACAAACCCGTCTACTTGATGATCGATACTAACCCTGAGCTGCCTAAACAAGTCCATGGATTGTAGTAGATTGCATTCTTGGGCATAACCAAGAATCAGGGAACTCCAGGATACCAAATTCTTCTGTTCAATTTGATCGAATACCCTCTGAGCTTCAGTTAAGTGCCCGCATTTTACATACAGATCGACAAGAGCACCAGCAATAGTAGTCCGAACTGAGCACAGGAATCCTCTTGTGATTAAGGAGGAATGTATTTGGCTTCCTTGCCGGACTGCTCCAAGACCACTGCAAGCTTTCAGCGTACTTGTAATCGTATATTCGTCGGGGACTTCTCCTAGCCCTTGCATTTTCCTAAATAAGAGCAAAGCTCTCTCCCCATTTCCTTCAAGTGTGAATCCAGCTATCATCGCGTTCCAACTGATAAGATTCTTAACTGGCATAACATCGAACATTCGTGCTGCTTCGTGAAATCTTCCACATTTCGCATACATGTCGAGGATAGAATTGCTCACCACTGTAACCCATTCAAAACCAGATTTGGTGCACATATTGTGAATCTGCATTCCATTCTCAACAATGCCCACAAACCCAGACGCCTTAAGATTGATCGAAAAGGTGAACTCATTCGGCTTAATTCCCGAAAACCCCATCCTACTAAATAGAGACAGTGAGCCTTTGGCATTACCATTCTGTAAGTATCCACACATTAAAGCCGTCCACGAAACAACATTTCTCTCAGGCATTCTATCAAACACCTCAAAGGCAATCCCCATTCTCCCACATTTGCCATACAAATCTATAAGATCGTTGTTTAACATTAAGTCAAGCCCAAATCCCAATCTCATCACCATCCCATGAGCCTGCAGTCCCTGGTCAAGCAGTAAATTCTTCGAACAGTTCCGAAGGATATTCGCCAACCTCTGCCGCTCGTTCATCCTTCCAAACAACCCCGTTTTGCAAAGTCCCTAATGGCAACGAGAATCAGCGCCTTATCTGTCAGAGAACTGGAAAATTCCTTCGTACCCAAGTTACTGAATTGCAAAAGCACAAAAGGGTTGAAGAAAATTCACGCTCAGATTGTGAAGCTCTCGTTGTCACAGAGCAATTTCTTGCTGACAAAAATGGTGGACGTGTGTGATAACAGTGGGGATTTGCGCTACGCTGGTTTGCTATTCGAACAAGTTATGGAGCCAAACGTGTTTCTGTTCAACGCCACGATCAGAGCTTATACGCATAATCAAATGTATGATTTAGCAATCAATTTGTATAAGCAAATGCTGAGAGAAGCAGAGAACCAAAAACTTCCTGACAAATTCACGTTCCCATTTGTGATCAAATCTTGCGCGGCGATATTCTGTGAAGTTCTGGGGAGGCAAGTTCATGCCCAAGTGTGTAAATTTGGGCCGAAGTCGCATTTACTGATTGAGAATGCTTTGATGGATTTGTATTTGAAATGTGATAATTTAGCAGATGCACACAAGGTGTTTGACGGAATGTCTGAACCGGATGTCATTTCTTGGAATAGTCTCCTTTCTGGGTATGTTAGATTGGGGAAGATGAGAGGGGCAAGGGCAGTGTTTGAGGAAATTCCTAACAAGACTATTGTGTCTTGGACAGCAATGGTTTCAGGGTATACGGGAATCAGGTGCTACGCCGAAGCTCTGGATATGTTCCGGCGAATGCAAATGCTGGATATTGAACCTGATGAGATTAGTATTGTTTCTGTTTTGCCGGCTTGCGCACAGCTTGGAGCTCTTGAGGTTGGGAAATGGATTCACATGTACTCGGAAAAGAAGCTGCTATTGCAGTCGGTTTGTGTTTGCAATGCCCTGATTGAAATGTACGTGAAGTGTGGCTGCATTGATCAGGCTTGGCACTTGTTTGATCAGATGTTGGAGAGGGATGTGATTTCTTGGAGTACCATGATAGCAGGGCTGGCGAATTACGGGAAAGCTCGCGAAGCAGTTGAACTGTTTCGAGAGATGCAAATAGTTAAGGTTGAACCGAATGGTGTTACGTTTCTAGGTCTTTTATCAGCCTGCACACATGCTGGTTTATGGAATGAGGGAGTTAAGTACTTCGATTCCATGAGAGAAGATCATAATATAGAACCAGAAATCGAGCATTATGGTTGTTTAGTTGATCTTCTGGGACGTGCCGGACACCTTGATCAGGCTTTTGACAGAATAAACAAGATGCCGATGAATCCAGGCTCAAAGATTTGGGGTTCGTTGTTAAGTTCCTGCAGGACTCATTGCAATCTCGAGATTGCCATTACCGCAATGGAGCACCTTTCGGTGCTTGAACCAGATGAGGCAGGGAACTATGTGCTACTTTCCAATATATATGCAGACCTAGGGAAGTGGGAGGATGTGTCAAGGATGAGGAAACTTATAAGAAGTAAGAGCATGAAGAGAACCCCAGGTTGCAGTTCGATCGAGGTTGACAATGTGGTTATGGAATTTGTGGCCGGCGACGATTCAAAACCATTTGCGAGAGACATCTTTTCCATGCTAGAGCTGCTTCTTTCGGAGCAGAACATACCAGATGATACGTTAGACGCTACACCAGAGGACTGCAGTCAACTTTTGTGTTAATTCGGGATACACTCAGGCTGAGAAGCGCCCAGAAAAACAAAACTGTAAACCTCAGTTACTCTTTCAGGAATCTAAATTGTTTTTACTCATAGCTGGTTACCCTCAAGTTGCAACCCATTGCATTCGATTAGCAGTTTTACCTGAACTGTATAACTTGACCAAAGTTGGTTTTGCAGATGAGGAGGCCAACGGCCGAGGAAAATGGTGTTAGAACTATCAAGACAAGTAGGAAACTGGCGACGACGAAAGGTACTAGCTCTTCTTTCAATCATTTTTGTTAATCCCAAATGAATATATAGGTGCTAACATAAAGAAAACATTGCTATATTTCTCCAACTGCAGATTTCCAACCAATACAAAATGACACCACGACAACAAAAATATCGGAGATTCAAAAGCAAAGTTGATCAGTTTCATTGATATAAACTCCCATACCACAGAAAAAAAAACATACAAATCCTACTCCTAGCGGAACTACTGAGCAAAAGAGAGGCCACAGACAACAATTATTGCATACACAGCACAGTCCATAAACAGAGCATCAAGTACCTTCTTCCCCAATAAGCCTATCCCTAAAGCCTTCCCTAACCGCTCGGCCCACTCATACTCACTGCCACTCATAGTTTGACCCTCACCAAATCCGGCAGGCACTCTGTGGTGTCTTTGTCGACCGCTGTCAAAAATTCGAGCAAGCACAAGCGTGACATTGGTCACCAAAACCAGGTACAGAGGCCTTAAACCCAAAAGGGCTTTTACCATTTTACTCCCCAGTAAAGGAAAACCCAGATGGGAAAAAACCACCAGTACCGCAACCGCCATGGAAATGTAAATTCGGATCCTTTCTGATGCTTCAATGGCGCCACTTATTCTACTCGCAGTGAAAAGTCTAGGCTTCTCAAACGACAATGATGTTGGTCGTGATTCATTCTGAACCGTTGATGGTGCTGATTCATCCTGATCCGTTGATGACGATGACCGTCTTTCCTCAATCTCGGGAGTGAAAACTGCAGACCCGCAACCGCCGTTAGCAAGCACAACAACAACAGCAACTTAAGATGGAGACGTTTGGAGATAGAGTGTGAGAGGGTACCTGGGATTTGATCTGGGACGTGGGTTCTGGTCTGGGACGTCGGATATTCATTCTGACCCGTTGATGGTGCTGACCACATTTCCTCAATCTCAGGAGTGAAAACTGCAGACCCACAACCGCCATTAGCAACTACAACAACAAAGCAACTAAAGATTAAGGCTTTTGGAGATATAGAGAAAAAGGGTACCTGGGATTTGATCTGGGACGTGGGTTTTGGGAATCTGATCCGGGGAAATCGACGGCTGGGATGGCAGGTCTGTATCTTCACTGTGACTTGCTGGGTCTGGCGGTGGTGAAGAAGAAAATGAGGAGGAGGGGGGTAGGGTTTGGATCCGACCCGTGATTAGGGCAAGGCGGTCGGACCCTCGCTCCATGATCTTCCTGCGTCGGGCTTCTCGGCTGTTTGTGGTCATATTTTCCTTCAATCAATCGATGACCGCTTCGTATTTTGCTTCTCAGCGAAGGCTGCAGTTCATACGGCCTGTGATATCAGCTCTAGTTCTGGGTCGGTTGGTTTGGATACTCTGCTTTTGATTCGGACCCGAGTCCGATAGCAGTAATTCCCAACTTCACCTCGTCTATTAACCAGCCTTTTTTCTATTTCTAATTTATATATCTCATGAAATTTGAACTCGAAATTGACTTCAACAAAATAAAGACTGAATTTCACCGACAACGGTTATAGACTATTACTTGACTCCACGACAATTCTTTGATTCAATTATTTAATAAAAAAACATTCATTGAAAATGAAAATAAGCGTGCGTTTCAATACAGTAGAGTTCAAGTTTCACTGACAACAGTTATCGACTATTAATTATGTATCGACAATATCTTTGTTGAAACTTAATTAAAATTATTAATTGGAGATGAGAATAAGCGTGTCTCACAAAGTAAATATTGAGCATTGCTAAACGAAATAGTCATTGATTATTAACTAGTCATCAATGATAATTGTCGATTCAATAAACTAATCACAACCGTTCATAAACAAGTGAGAAATTGGCTCTTTTCAAAAGTACTAGTTAATTTTTTCTTACCATTTACCGATTTAGGTGGAGTGGGAGAGCCTCGAATTCGGATGAGATGGGCCACAATGGTGCGTGGTTCCCACTATGACACTAGCCCTCCTCGTTTCCATTTACCTAGCCCTCCTCCTTACCAATAACCAACTTTGATAACTGATAAGTATTAACTATGAATACCTCTTAGTACTCCGGTTTAGTGAAATTTCTTTTCATTTGTCAGTGATTTTAACCAAATTAGTATGACCAACACATTGCGGAGATACATGTTGCAAAATTGCTTTCTTAAATAGCATGAATAATGACTTGCTTCTTTGTAAAATATAAGTGATATAATGGTAAATAGTGTAACGCTAAAAACATTCATAGTTCAACAAAAATTTGTAAATCAAAGATTTCAAAAACCAGATGATCTTCTGAAGAGTTGTTAGCAAACTCCTTCAAAAGAAAGAATAATCCACTACTATTTTAAGTTAATCAATCCATCTGTCGACTAAGATAAAACACCCAGAGTCATAGAGATGGCGCAATGCGTCTGTAAACCGCTCGGAAAGTCTTGTCCCCCATTTCTGTCAACCTTCCGTCCTTCCTCGGTTGCAGAACTCAAGAGCTTCGTAACTGGATCTGCGTTGAGCTCTTCGTCGGTGAGAGCTTCAAACATCGGGTGATTCTCCAAGCAAGTCTTCATCCAGTCTCCGAGTTCCTCAACATCCGTAATTGTGTATATGATCCCACCGCCTTCTAGAACATAAGCATAATCGTCCAGCAAGAAAGGACTGATCACTCTACGCGGATGATTTTTCTCTTTGAAGTGAGGATCCGGGAACAGGAAAAACATCTTTGAAAGCTGGCCTTTCTCAAAGTAGTTTGGAATGTATTTCATGGAATTAGTCCGAACGACTGAGATATTTTGGTATTGACCCGGATTTGTCACCCTTGATGCCAAGATCCTTTCCTTCACTCTGTCACCTTATCCCTAAGCTCCATTCCGATCATCAAAGTCTCCGGGAAAAGGGTTGACAGACTTATCAGAAGCCCCCCAAAACCACAACCGATATCTGCAAACTGGGTCTTCTTACAGCTATCAAACTTGATCGGACGAGGGGAAGTATTGCGGGTAATGAAGAGAATAATCTACGTGACGCGGGGAGACAGGTACTGGAAATGGGAGTCACTCAGAGGGTTGATGTGTGCTCTTGCTCGGTAGAAGCGCTTCCGAGGCAGGGCAGTTGACTTGCTAAACGTTGGGTTTGTTTCCTTCCCCAACATGACTTATTTCAGTTAGCTGCAGTAAGAAGCAGGAATTTCAGGACATCTTGCTAAATTATGAAGGGAATCATAAATTGCAAATAACTGCAAGCAATGTATGAACCATTAACGAAACTCTATTCCTTGGATTTAACTAGACAAACCAAATTGTAAGGAAAGAGGGTTGTCTCGGATAGCTAACTTTTTCCGCTTCTCTTAACTTCCAAATAATTTATTGGTGCATAAATTCGAAAACAATTTCATAGCCGCATTACCGCAAACAGGTGGTGGGCGTATGTAACACATACCAATTTCAACAAAACAAAGAAGATGAATGTTTACCACAGATTAAAAAATCAATAGAAAACAAAATCAAATCATTTGAATTGTTCTGAAGAAGCCTCAGATGGCAACCACAATAACAATGGAAACCCAGAGAAGGAAGGTTCAAAGAGAAGAAACACAGACCTGGGAACAAAAATTTGAAGCTTTTTGGAAGATGGAGGAGCTCTGCTACCAAGTGACGGAGGCGGGGAGGGAAAGTACTGAGAGACTGGGATTAATTTACAGAGCCAGACAGGTCGGAGCGAAACGAAAAGGAGAGATTAAGGTTGGGCTCTCGTTTAGGTTTGGGCACTGGTGTATGCGGGTTGACTCAATTTTAGCCCAATTTCTTCAGGGTTAATATATCCAAGCCCATTTTTCATACAAGTAAATAAAAATGTGCAACGAGGCCCACGGGCCACGACTTAATGGCCGATGACCCAGCTATTTTTCGAGGTGAAGCTCTTTTGGCACACAAAATTTTTATATTTTGTTGGCGCACTTTATAGTACATGTAAATCTCACATGCAAGTGCGTTATTTTTGTGCATCGAATAGCTCATATAAAAATAATTAATGAGGGGACAGAATCACTAATGAAAAGAAGCATTGAGAAATGTTTTTTTTCATAAAATCACTAAACACGTAGAATGCATTTTGCTTCAATATCCTTAAAGTAATTACCCAAGTAATTTTATTGTTTTTTTGATAATATTGGAGGTGGAGAAATTGAACACATGACGTTATGTGCAAGGGAAGTGCATTCTCTCTTGAGCTCAGGATGGGGATCCTCCTGACCACGAAATTCGAACCGTTTAAATTCAATCCAACGGTTGCAATTATTATAACCTTTAGAGGATCGACTTGTTTGGAACCGTTGGATTAATTTTGAACAGCCAGGATTTCATGGTCAGAAGGATCCTCATCCTGAGCTCAGGAGAGGATCCTCTTCCATGTGCAAGAATCGTATTGAACAATATATCACTTGTGTCGAAGTAATGTTCTTTAATCACTTAGCTGCAAGCCCATTGTAAAGACTAAACTATTTAGTTAAGAAAGATTTTAGTTCTTAAATAAAAATTCAAGCCCCAAATTCTTAGCTCTAAAATTGCCGAAACCATCTGGTACTCCAAATTCAAACTTCGACTATGAAGTTGTTCTAGAAAAAAATCCACTACATTACAAAGATCTGATTCAACATAATTTAGTGTAATGGGTAATGCTAGAGAGACTAGATTTATAGACAAAATTTACAAACTAAATAACATAGAACCTCATGATTTGATTATTACTTAAGCATTGATAAATGTGTTCATTTTTTATTGATGACACATTATTTAGTTTGCAAATTTAGTCTCCCTTTACCCCTAATGTAATTTATGCGTTGACGCATGCTAATAAGAGTCTAGTATATCAAGATCACAGAATGACGATATCTAATGATCGACTCGTGCCTTGAACAAACTTTGATCTGAGTTTTCCTTGTACTACTTTTTCAAGATATTAATTAGATCTCTACATATATAGCTAAGTGTATATAACTAATTAATCAGCCTCTCGACACCTGTGTATATGCAGGCAGAAGCAATTTACTGCCCGTCCCCCTCACACGTATTAATGGAAAAGATAACCTGAAAATTTAATGTAAATATTTTTACATCCCATCGTATGTGTTCTTGTCGTAATTATACGCATGTTTATATGTAAAATGATATCTAATTTAGTAAAACACAATCTCAGTACTCAACGGAAATCAGGTAAAACGTGTCCTTTAATGTTTCTCTCCATAGTCAGCTAG